TCTATTATCAGAAATGGAACATAGTATTCATTGATATGATTTCATTAGTATATAATCACCTGAATATAGGAATGATGGTTTCTTTTCCTCGGAAAGAGCTGTCGTCCTCTAGAGAGTGACTGGGTCCTCTTCTGCGGAGGCTGCCATGTTGAACCACCGTGTTTGTACAGTAGCCCAGAATGAACAAACCAAGCACTGGCTGTAGATAAGGCCTCTTGCCTTTTTTGTAAGTTTCCTGGCCACCATAGTTTCTCTTGCACGCTTTGAAAGCTGAGCTGTATTCAAATGGTTGTTATCTGCAACTTTACCACTAAAATAGTATATACGTAGTATATAACTACTACTCGGACATAGTGTCTTTACAGTGTATTCCGCACCACTGACGCTCGTCTGCCCTCGTCTGCGGCTTTTCCGGCCGACTGAGCGTGCTGAATCTGCGGTGGAGGCCATTGTCGAGAGAAATCACTCCGATTGGCTGTTCAGCTTAAGTGCATCAGTGCACGGGAAGTACCATTTGTAGCTTCTTATCAGACATTTTCTGGATTAGAAGCAGCTTTTTTTATAAAACCCTGTGAGCGGACAAGCCTACATCTGTAGGCCGCTTTTGTTTATATCCACATAGGTGGGCTAGGTCTTCTGGTGGTCTTTTTTCAATGTCGAATGCAGACTACCGCTCCCTGCCGGTATGGAGAGTTACCATGTACGTCGTGCTAGTTGGCCATTTGCTGTAGTTGGTGCGGTGTGGTCGAGACACAGGCGACACTAGGCAATGCAACAGTCAGCTTTTGTCGCCGCTAGTTCTTTGATGTTGGTGTGGTGTGTCAGGTAATTCTATCCCCTGCCTGGCCTTTATTTAAAACCCAGCCTTTATTTGTCAGGCTGACCACCTATTACATGAGACCCTATCTGAATAATGATGCATTACCTTCATCTATCTTTGCAGTGCTCCTACCAGTAGTCCTGGTGTAAACCACAATTCTTCCTTCCACAGTTCTTCCCCTAATGTTCACTGCACATATAAAACAGTTGTAAACCAGTTCTTAAGTAACTACACTAGTCGTAGTCTATGTGTAACCATATATGTAACTGTATGTAACTGTGCCAGAGGGTCTCTGCCCAGCAGGGAGGAACATCTGACAGCCAGACTTGCTTCCAACTTGCTTCCAACACACTGACGGTATTTTGCTCCCCTTTCCTCTGTAAGCAGGATTAGGAAGATTTGATAAATGTTTTCATAAAATTTGTTTTCATAAATGATTCAAGCTGGGCAGTGCTTTTAGCAAATAAATGTCATCAGATGTTTTGACAGAACTCACCATTCTTTATTCATCTCCCCGCACACACGCACATACACACACACACACATACACACACGCACACACAGAGCACTACTCAGTATACCCCACAGACACCATCAAATGAAAATAAGACATAATCAGGGCAGGGGAGAAGGCAGGAAAGGGTAGAGGAAAGTAGGGCATAGCAGTACATTAGACTGTACACACACACACACACACAAAGCATGTTTGAGTTCCTCTTATAGAAACAGACACAGAAGAAGCTGCAGTACATAGTTTGGTAGGCAGGTCTGTGCGTGTGGTGTCGAGGTGTAGGTGTGGTGTGTGTATTTGGGGTGTG